ATTTTAATATTTGAATTCAAGTTCTAAATTTGAAGTCGTTAGATTAAAAGATAATTATTTTTAATATTTTAAAATGAAATATTTAATTATCAAATATTAAAATGTTGAATTGATTCTTTTAGTTGATTATTATTGTTATTATAAACATAATTATTTTTATTATAATTATTATTATTATATGAATCTTTTGAAAGATAATTATTTTTAACATTTTAAAATCAAATATTTAATTATCAAATATTAAAATATCTATATAATCACATGATTAATACATTTTAATATTTGAATTCAAGTTTTAAATTTGAAGTAGTTAGATTAAAAGATATACTATTTGAAAGATAATTATTTTTAATATTTAAAATGAAATATTTAATTATCAAATATTAAAATATTGAATTAATTCTTTTAGTTGATTACTTTAGAGATTAATTGTAGTGCTACATGTAGGCGCTATTCACCTCTCATATATATATGTGTGTGTAAAAATGACCAAAATAAGCCACTATTTTAGTTAGTAACTAAAAGAAGCTTATATATATATGTGTGTGTGTGTAAAAATGACCAAAATAAGCCACTATTTTAGTTAGTAACTAAAATAAGCTTAGTGGAAAAAAAAGTTTCACTTTATCTAATTTTTTAAACGTTTTCCGTTAGTGTCATAACGTGTATTTTTAATGTATAACGGAACTTTTTCTTACACTTTATAAAGTGTAAGTAAAAATTACACTATATAAAGTGGAATTTTTTCTTCACTTTATAAGGTGAAGCTTTTTCTTCCACTTTATAAGGAGGAACTTTTTCTTCCACTTTATAAAGTGGAACTTTTTATTACACTTTATAAGAGAAATATTTTTCACGTTTCAAAAAAGCTTTCTCAGTGTTGTCATACAATTATGTTGATTTGACATGTCATAAAACGAAAAAAAATATTACACTATGTATTTTTATTTTCTGTATTTTGAAAAAACTTTCAATCTCTATTTAAGGTCGTTTAAAATGATTGATATCACCTACAACATAAAATCTTCTATATTTTGTTCATTCAATCTCAAAAAAAAATGTCTTCTACGCCTAAAGTTAGAGTTTCAATTTATCGGGATGGCGAAATGATACATGACGGAAAATCGTTTATTATAATTGTCCTCCCAAACACAATGCTAAATATCCAATTAATGTTCGATATCATAAATTCATTTCATCAATTTATAAAAGAATGAGTCTAAACAGTACTGATTATAATTTGATTATAAGTCGAAAAATACCCTACTTCATTTTCATCAAAGGACAAGTTAATTTTAGAGAGTGGATTATTTATAATGACGAATCGTTGACCGACTTTTTGAGGGTTCCAAATGACTACATAGATCAAATCAAGTTAACAATACTTGAAATCTATGTTAGGAAGGAGCCTAAGATTAGTCAACAATGTTCTCATTTATCAGTCGATGTCAATCCCCAATTAGAAAATCGTAATAGCGTTGATGAATTTTCAATAACTCAATCTGCTAATTTTCCTAACATGACTCATCATCAAAATATTCTTACCGGTCGATATGATTTTGATTTAAATGAAACTATCAATAAAAGTGATCGGTAATGCTCAATAATTATATTTCAATCATTATTTGTTGATTTTGTCAATTATTTATTAGTTTATATGATTTATTTTTCTTATTATTATATATTTTATAGCGGTTTACCTCAGTAAGATAGGAATATTGCTCCAAGTTATGGATTAGATAATTATTTTAGTCAGTCATCACACTTTGAAATGACGGAAAATGTTGGGACATCCTCAAATTTTCATGTCTCGCCTACTTTTGGTGCAAATGATTTTCAGTATGTTCAACGTTTGATTTTTTTTTATTTAAGTAAGTTAATTGCATGTGCGAAATATTTATACTTTTTTTACATATATAGGAAAAATATTACACAAGATGAACCCATTGATCCTGTGAATATCGATGATCGTGACCTTCCTAATTATGGCTCACCTTCAGCTAGTGATAGTGATGATTTTCCTAATGCTGAGGAATATGGAGATAATGTTTCATTTGAGGCATCATCTAGTGATGATGATTTTTCGACTCTCAATCGATCGCCAAGATCAATGTCCATGAGCCCGTTTCATAATCATGAATTTCTTTATCTTGATCATCTCCCGGATGGTTCAGATATCTTTGGTGATACATATGATGAGTATACATCACAACGTACGTGGCATGAACCAGAAGATTTCATGAATGGTGCTATTTATATTGAAAAAGGCATGTTATTCAATTCAAAGAAGCAGTTGCAAAGAACAGTTAAACTTCTATATTTGAAAGTAGCAAGGGAGTACTTTGTTATTAAATCGACAAAAAAATCATGGCGACTTGTTTGCAGGCGTGTATAACAAGGATGCTGATTTAGGTTGACTTCTTTTATTGATAAACATACTAACATGTGGAAAATTGGAAGATACATTGAAGAACAAACATGTGATAAGGGTACATGTCGCGAAGGACATTTCAACTTGGATGTTGAGATGATTACTAACGTCCTCCGTGTTGATATAGAAAGAATGCCAAGGTACTATTTTATCCTTAGATGATTCTTATTTAATAAGAAAATATTCATTTTATTTGATAATTAATATTATTATTACTTTTCAGGTTTCCCATCAAAGACTTTCAAACAACCATTCTTAAAGCATATGGCATTTCGATAAGTAGAAGAAAAGTCTATCTTGGTCACAAGCGGGCTTTTGAAAAAATCTATGGTACTTGGGAGGGTTCTTTTACCGAGTTACCGAGGTTCATGGAAGCTTTGAAACACTTCATTTCTGGAACAATAGTAGAATGGAAAACAGAGCGGCGTGTCGATGTCATTGAACATGTATTCAACTATGTGTTTTGGCTTTTAAACCATGCATTGATGGGTTTGTGCATTGTCCTCCTGTTATATCGATCGATGGAACACATGTCTATGGAAAATATGATATCAAGTTGTTGATTGCGATTACAATAGATGGTAACGGCTCTATATTACCTTTGGCATTTGTAATAGTTGCAAATGAGAGCATAGAGACATGGACTTTATTTTTGGATCATTTACACTTGCACGTTGTCAAGGTTCGTAGAGGGGTCACATTGATATCAGATAGGCATCACGAAATACTCTCATCCGTATATAATTCTCCGAATTGGCAGGCTCCATTTGGGTTTCATCGTTTTTGTTTAACACATTTGAAGGCCAATTTTTAAAAAAAATCAAAAATATCACTTTGAACAACCTATTATGGGCAGCTGCAAATAACTGTCAGGAGAAATTTTTTTTGGAATAAATGGAAATGATCAAGGAGATTAATGCGGAAGCATATGTGTGGCTAATGAAGAACGATCTTGACAAATGGACATTGCACAGGGATGGAGGTAAGAGATGGGGCATGCTGACAACAAACAGTTGTGAATCATTCAATGGTCTTCTCAAATCAGCAAGGGGTCTGCCAGTTATTGCAATGGTAAGACTCACTTACAATCAAATTGTGAATCGATTTGTTACAAGATCAAAATTTGTTAATCATCTAGTATAGGAAAAGCAACAATGGATGCCTAAATCATTCAAGATTTTGAAGATAATCGAAAAAGTCACAACGTCACACACTGATCCACTATCACCAACAAAGGGAAAACATATTTGAGGTGCAAACATCTCGCTGTCTAAGTCCCGTATATCCATCTTAATTTTCATTGTTCCTCTTCCTCTTTTTGGCCGGAAGATCCTTTATGTTCACATTCTTTACAATTGTTTTAACAAGTTTTTTTCTTCCTGGTGTTTGCGGCATATCATCCACTGACATAATGAACGTATCTGGAGAAAAGAGTGGTGATAAGGTGGTCTGCAAATACAAAGTTAGATAGTAGAAATTAAAAAATAAAAGTATAAATGATAGGAATATGAAATGCGGTGCAAAATAAAAGTCTACAAAATAACTAATATAAATATTTCAAAAAATAAATAAATAAAATAAACTTGTGTAACATCGGGATCCTCATTAACTATCGGAACAACATCCTCTATGACCGTCGTGGGACTCTCCTTCACTGTAGATGAAGGTCCCGTAGTATGAATCTAAAATTATTAAAACTTAATTTAATATAAAATCAAAGTTTTAATAATTAATATAAATATGTCAAAAATAAATAAATAACATAAATCTGTGTAACATCGGGATCCTCATTAATTGTTGGAACAACATCCTCTATGATCGTCGTGGGACTCTCCTCCACTGTAGATGAAGGTCCTGTAGTATGAATCTAAAATTATTAAAACTTAATTTAATATTAAATCAAAGTTTTAATAATTAATATAAATATTTCAAAAATAAATAAATAACATAAACCTGTGTAACATCAGGATCCTCATTAACTGTCGGAACAACATCCTCTATGATCGTCGTGGGACTCTCCTCCACTGTAGATGAAGGTCCCGTAGTATGAATCTAAAATTATTAAAATTTAATTTAATATAAAATCAAAGTTTTAATAATTAATATAAATATTTCAAAAATAAATAAATAACATAAACCAGTGTAACATCGGGACCCTCGTTAACTGTTGGAACAATATCCTCTATGATTGTCGTGGGACTATCCTCCACTGTAGATGAAGGGCCCGTAGTATGAATCTAAAAAATAATTAAAATATAATTTAATATAAAATCAAAGTGTTAATAACTACTGTATTAAATAGATAAATAACACAAACCTGCGACTCAATTGGATCATCAAACAATCCTTCAATAAAATCTTGAGAGTTATAAATAGTAGTATCTTCGGTGTCACAACGGACAGTACCTGATGTGCCCTACAAAAATATATAAATAGTTTTATTTTTTTATTTTTGAAATATTTATATAAGTTAGTAATGTTTTAAGTTTAAAATTAATTGTTAATGCTTATCGCGATATCAGGTATATAATCTCCAACATCTATTGTTGATTCATAGATCATATGTCCGATTCCTTTCACATCTCGAGTCGATCTTGAATAAGGATCAAATGACATATGTAATAAATTCATGATATCTGTCGTGCCAAACTGATGAACATGCAAATCATCAGCCTCTACTCTCACCTCTGCCTCTATGTTTGGAGGAATAGGTATACCACCAGTGCCACGTCCTCGAGCGCGTCCTCGAGCTCTACCTCTATGCCCCATCCGTTCACGTCTAGTTCCTCTTGCACGCACATGTTCAAATAAAGGATTTCCCTAAAAAATGGCTCTCTAAATTGTATTCCGGCCTCAAGCAATGTATCTTTAATAATCTGAGATACCTCTTCACCATGTGAAGCTGAGGTTGTGTCTCTCTGCCACTGTAATACAAGACTATACAACTTAAATAGTCCTCTGGATATTGCAATACTAGTACCAGCCGAATGAACAAAGCCTGACGATACATGAACCTCTAATGCAAGCCCACCTATAAGCAATCTTCCATGCCGCATGTACCATAATCTATACCTTGCCCCGCTAGTACCATCATTTACCTCAACAGCTAAACTCTGATGTCGATTACCCCAATCACGAAAATATTTATCCATCATTTCAAGAACCTCTGGTCCAAGCCTCCTACGCTGATCATGCACGTGGTGGTTGGATCCCCAACTAGGAATCACAGGTACATGATGGGAATGACCAAACTGACGCATTACTCTATCAGGTGAGTGCACTTCAACAATCTCTAGGCAAAACATAGTGACACATGCCATCCACAGAGGCTCATCGACCATACAACAATGAGGCGGTGTATGTAAAATTTCATTGTACGGTGTCTATTGAAACTATTTTTAAAATATAACAATTAAATAAAATCAACATTAACTGATTAGTATACAAATAAAATTATTATTGATTTACTTTTATATGAAATTTATATTTTTTATTTAATGAAATGTAACGACTTAGGAATCCATATACATATATACATAAAATACAGTGTGGATGATAACATATACTACAAGTTCAAGCAGAGACAACTGATAGGTTAACATTAATGTTGGTTGGCATGTTGCACTTTCTTACTACATGTGAAACATATATAACGATTTAATCGACATTTTTTTTATCGAAAAATATTATTATATATATATAGTTATTTTCGCAAAAATAACAAGTGTATATCTCACAAATTGATTCTTTAACAACTTTAATTTTGACCTTTTTCAAAGATTGAGTTCTCCCATCAATCAAGATTGCAATTGACTCTTGACCTAATTAATTTATTTATTTTCTAGTACAATAAGTTATAGTATAATATCATACTTTAATTATATTACGTAAACTCCCGAAAAATATTGATATTTAATAACCTTAATTATAATAATATTAATCTAAACTATTCTCTCTCTCTCTCTCTCTAAATATTTTACTTCATCAATACTCAAGACTCAAATAATTAGAATAGTAATGATAGGTTTGCAAATAACATAATAATTAATAATAAATGACTTTTTGTGAATTTATAATATGAAATAAGCAATACAAAGTTTGGCTAGCTTAATGCTGCAATTTTATTTATTTATTTTAAATAAAATAAAATAGTAAAACTATTTATAGTCCAATTCATGTGGACTTTTAGAGTCAGCAAAATATCACTTTTTGTTGTATATTTATTATTATACGTGTATTATTTTATTTAATATTTAGCAATCATATATAATGAAAACATTGTATCCAAAGTCAAATCCCCCAAGTTAGATCAATCCAATACAACCAACATCAATCGAAAGAAAAAGACCAAAGTACCCTTTCACTTTTAAAATAACAAATTGACAATCATAAAAGTATTTTAGTAGAGTTGCAAAATTTATTTGATGTACCTGATCCTCCGTCATGCTGTCTAACTGGTTTCTAATCGGGATAAGAACATGATGTGACTCAGTATCTATATCAATTCCACGCGTCCAACGCCTAGCATATGGAAGTAGCATGTCACCATCATGTTCAGGAGGAGCTGATGACTGTACAAGCAAGATCATCTCCCAACACCAAACCTTGATGTGACAAACAAAATAATTAAATTATCATCATTAACAAAAAAAATAGATAATCACACACACACACACACACATATATTTATAGCTGTAAGAAAATGTATGTGAATCTTTTTAAAAACTATGTAGGTTTTATAATAATTATTCATATTTATTATGAAGTAAGTTTCAACCTTTGGTTGGACCCTTTTTTTAAAACTATGTAGGTTTTCTAATAGAATAACATTGTGTGCTTTATCAATGCAAGTTTCTATCGAAAGAAGCAGGCAAAGAGAATAAACTATTTGTATGTAATTTAAATATTTTAAAAAATTGAATATAGAAAAAATATTCTTGTACGGTATAATGTTAAAGATTTTTACATTTGAATGTATTTTAAAACTTAAGTAAAGTTACCTAAAGGAGAGGAATAAATCCGCAAACGTCAATCACATTACCGATAGATGCTCGACAAAGTGCACTGTACAAGTAGGCTAGCACTGCACTGCCCCAACTGTACTTACCTACATCGTGGATAGGATCTAGGAACGTCAAGTATTGTAAACTAATAAGGTTTCCTGAAGTGTTCGGAAATAAGATGCCCCATAATATAACAAGCATGTAAAGTCAGCAATCCTCTCCACTCATTCCACTGGAGTAGCATCTCTTATAAGATCTACTTGTAACTGATCTCGCAAGTAGCCGGTAATGCTATGTATCCTCACCCGACTTGCACCATCCATATCAGTAGGTGCTATGGTACATCCTGTGAGTGTCTCTAATAAAGTACGTCATGGACGAATCCTCCAGGTAGCATCCTAAATGTACACAGCATCACCATCGATGCGCAAACCAAACAAGACCTGCACATCCTGCAATGTAATCGTGACCTCACCAAAAGGTAAGTGGAAGCAATGAGTCTCTGGCCTCCAATGCTCAACCATAGTTGTAACAAGGGCACGATCATACTGCATCATGCCCACACAAACTACATCATACAGTCCGGACCTACGTAAGATCTCCTCAACACGCTCATGAGGTCGGTGCAAACGAAATAAATTCCAAGCATCATTCATGCGCACCGTCCTCATAAGGTTACTAAATGGTATCTCACCTTTCCATAACAATTCTGAATTATGCTCATGCTGAGAGAGAAGAAGTGTACGATCAATCGGTCCAGGATTCACAACACGCTCCATTATATACTGTAAGAAAAATTATATTAATTCATATAATATAATTATATTTTGACATATTAATGCCTAGATAGTTCTGCTTTTTATTTACTTCTATAGTTTTGTTGGACCTCTACGGTAAAAGTGAAATTCTATATTATACCTCTTATTATTTGTCGAGGTTCCTCAGCGAGGTTTTAGCTTTTGAATTGTGAAGGGGAGTAAAAGAAAAAAAATACTAATTGAGTAAGTAGTGAGAACGTATATGATGATCGAGAATATTTTAACTAAATAATGCTTAAAATTCTTAGTTATTAACTATGACATGATCATGAAGAATGCTTCCTATTATTAATCAAAATCTAACAAAGAATAACGATATAACTCTCTCAGCTTTCAACTCAAGTTGGTGAAATAACTTGATTCTGCTAACTCCAAAAGAAATTACTAAAACAAAATCACAGAAATAGTAATTATTCTCATTTAGAAAGAGGGAAAATAAGTGTTATCATTCCAATTAGAAATCTAAATTAGTTATTTGCATTTATTTGCGATCAACTGAGCACTATTAGCTGACTAGATATCAAGAACATAATCGATATGAAAATTAGTCATTATGATATTTTTTTGTTTGAATAATGAAGCGAGATGAACAATGAAGATTAGTGATATAGCCGATCCAACTTGCTTGATATTGAAGTATGACAGGAGTTATTGTTGTATGAAATCTATATATTTTAGTATAGTATTCCAATCGAAGAAGAAAGGAGATTGAGATAACATATAGCTCTGATGGGTAGAAACATAGTATACCGGGGGATCTACATGTGCAAGTTTTCAGCTGGCATGTGATGCAGCATCAGAAAAAGGGTAGAAATGCGCGCTTTCATGTTCAGATGTGTGCGTACTAAGCTTCTCTTGTTTCTAAACAATTTTTTAGTTTTTTTTTTAAAATATCACTCTCAAAAATGTTTAATGTCCCACTAACAAGCAAAAATGAAGAGAATGCTAAATCAAGATGTTAAAGAATGCTAAATCAAAAATACTATACTAACACAAGATGAGATAAATGAAACACATTCTAAATAAAAAATATATGAGATGTTAAAGAAATACCTAATTTATATAATTTGTAGGGACGAATTGTTATGTTGTCGGGTTGTGCTACTTCGAATTTTTGATTTATTTATTGTGGGGCCGCTACATTTGTCGGATTGGGACCATCAATGTTCATCTTCAAGTGTAACATAGAAGCCATGAAAGTGAAAGAAAGAAGGAGAAGGTGAAAAAGTAAAGTAATTTTCTATAAGGTGGAAGATTTTCTTCCACTTTGTAAAGTGGAAGAAAAAGTTCCACTTTGTAAAGTGGAAGAAAAAGTTCCGTTATACATTAAAAATACACGTTATGACACTAACAGAAAACGTTTAGAAAATTAGATAAAGTGAAACTTTTTTCCACTAAGCTTATT